GTTTCACGGACGATAGCCATGGCATCCAAGAAGCGTTGGTACATGTAGCGGGGACCACCTGTAAACTTCGGAGATATATTTATCTTGCGTTCAACTCTCACCCGCATCTGGCTCCGCCGACTCCTGCTCCGTATAATTCCCACGCCGAGTCCTACGTATGGCCGCCTCGTCGTCAGCTGCCATTCTGTGGATTTCAACAGACTCGCCACGCAACGCGTCCGTGAGTCCCTGGAGGGTTTCCAATCGATACTGGAGCTGGTCTTCTTGATGAAGCGCAGGGTTCTTGTTCGCATTTGGCCCATTGGTCAACGCAGTATTGCTGCGTCAGTCGCCCACCGCGCAGGATAAGCGAATTACTAACCGTCCGGTCGTAAAGCAGATACGCCTCATATTCCCGAACGGACATGGTTAGGGGGTCACCGTGGCGATCGACGGGATTACCAACGTACGGGATATCGTAAGTCCAGCCATTATCCCCGTACGGAAAGAGTAGAGGGTACTGCAGCGGGTCGTAGGTAACGCTCGTCTCAAATATGCGCTTGAAACCTCCTCCTGTCGTGTGTAGGATTATATCCCGATGTTCAGCCGCGTTTGTATCGATCACAACGGCTGCCACCTCCGATGCCGTTGGGGTGTTATGCGTACCCGGGTTCGCATTCCGTGTGACGTGCAGACGCAGCTTAAGGTGATCCCCCTCTGGAAGAAAATTACTCAAGGCTAATGACGGATCATGCTCATCAACGTCTTCCCCTGCCGCTCGGCGTCGTTCGTGCTCCCTGATGGCTGCTGCATACGCATCCCAACCACGATCTATCAAAAATCTACGCGCGTTGATAAATTCTTGTGTATACGGGTTGTGCGCCACCATCATCTGGTCAATTGTTTCCATGACGGCACGATCGAGGCCTTGCGTCATGTTCATACGGCTTCGCACACGTGCATCCATATCTGGATGTTAAAGTAAACTTGGGCATACATGGAGCGACCGAAGGTAGGAGGTAGTAACGATCCCATGCGATGACACACTGACCCTTGTACACGGAAGTTGTAGACACCATTCCGTGTCACGCTTTCGTCAACGCTTAGAGGCCGAGACCGCGAAGCTCCCATGGACGTAAACGCGAATACGTTGTTGTAGGCCCGGATTGACCGCATGAAGGTCGGGTTTTCGAAAAGTGTCAGAAGCGCATCAGGTGCTGTTCGCGAAGATGGAACGAACACCAGTCCGTACGACAGCAGCATCCATCTGTCT